ATATAATTTTCATTTCGGTGCTAAGACATAGTGTAAAGAAAAATTAAAGCCGAAACTACCACTGGTGCGAGGCTACCACTCGAGAACCTTTCTTCCCCATCGTTTGTCGGTTCTTCGATCTATATGGCCGGCCCATTGCCACTCCAGCATACTAATTCTTTGGGCTATGTCGGTTACTCTGGTTTTACTGCGGAGTACCTCGTTTTAAGTCTCAAGGCCGAGCATAGCCCTCTCAATAGCTCGTTGAGCGACCTTGAGCTTCATTATACGGCCAGCAGTGAAGGACCACGTCTCAGATCCATAGGTCATCACTGGCAACATGCACTAGTTGTACAATCTAGTTTTGAGGTTTGAGGTATGTCTGACAAGATTCTCGTCAGTCCTCAGGGTGCGTGCGTTATAAGTTGCCAGGCCGAGTCGTCGTAGGGGGCAACTGAACCTCTACCGGAGATGGTTTGGAACCTCTTACACTACCACAACATGGCAATAATAATATACAATTAATTTTAAAACGTTTTTATTCGTTTTATTGCTATATCTTGAAACCGCAATCAGACGTCATCCACAAAGATTATTTAATTACACGTTCATTTTATTATTCGAAGATATAATTTTTCAATGAGACCAAGAACCAATAGAATTGGAATATAACACGATCAATTATATCATTGGATCATTCTTTTTATCATTTTTTTATTGGATGTAAAAATCTTTTCAATGTTGAAATAAGGTTTTATATTAATTACCCATCCAATGTCATTAACCTCAATATCGTCCATCCATCACAGCTTATAAAATAGAATGCCTCATAGGGGGGATTTTGCCATAGTTGCCACGTTTAGAAAGCGTCATGCTTGACAAGTGGTAGCATTAGCGGTTGCATAGCTATGTTCAGGTTTGAAAATAGAGCCTGTATGATTACAGGCTCTAAGGGATTCCGTATTTATCCTCAGAACTGCAGCCTACATAGTTTGCAGTTTGTTGCAGGTGTCTTCGGGCTACAGTGGCCACTTAAGATCAAATGGACTGTAAGAATAGTTATAAGAAAAAAAAAACTTCCATATTATTGAAAAAATAATGTTACTGCTTTTTTTTTATAGGATAAGGGTGACAAACGAGCACACAGTCCACCTGATAGTAAGTGGTTGATGCGGCCCATAGACATCTACATCTATCCTCTATTACAAATCAAAATGTAGATGCGTTATCACCCGTGAGGACTAAGATGGAACGCCTCATTTCCAGTAAAAAGGGCCTCCGGCCACCTGCACTCACCAAGCGAAACGCAGAGGTAAGCCTCTACTTCACGCTGGTTTTCTGTGAGATCGTAGTACCACCCCGGTTCAAGCCGGCCCATCCGTGCTACAGCAAAAGCTGCCACTGTAGAGCCACTACCACTGTTACTGCTTCCTTAACTTACGCCACTGATCTGAGCTTCTTCACATTTCTGTGAGGGTTATAAAACAGCAAAGAGGGTTATTCTTCCTCTACACTACTCGCGAAGTAACTTTGCCGAAGTGCTCGTCGAAGTTGATCGCAGTCCGAAGAACGTGACCACACACTCGTGCTACTTCGCGAAGAGCTCAGTCGTCTTGAGTCTCCCGCACCCTTAAGATGAATAACGTCAAGAAGCAGCTGCTATAAGTACCTAATTGTGTGAACAGTACGACGTCAATGCGTTAACTAAATAGATCATTATGTAATAGAATAGAATAGAATAGAATGATTTTTTATTCAATATGGATTATTACATAATACTTATTGAAAGTCATTATTTTATTTACCACTGGTTCGGAAAATACCTCTGTCCTGGGAAGAACCAGCAAGAAACCCAGCGGGACTTTTTTTTTTAAACATAATTTCACTTAACAATAATTTTGTTTATACAATTTTAAATGAATTTTCATAGAACCAGCATGGTGGCGATCACCTTATTCCCAGGGGTTATTTTCATTCATGTATTCCTTGATATTATAATAACCCTTTTTGTACAGTTTTTCTTTAATAAAACTTTTAAACTTGTTGTGTAAAAAACTACATATTTAATATTTATATATAAAAAATATTCATAACTGGCGTAAGCCGAGTAGTGTACTGAGACGCTTCGTGTAACTTCGGGGTACTTCGCGAAGTCCTTTGACTCTGGCGCAAAAAACCGTCAACGATCGCGAGGTTGCACGAAGCGAATCGAAGTACCTCTCTACACTATTCGCCTCGTCCAACTTCGATCTACTTCGCGAGTAGTGTAGAGGAGGCATTACTTCATCGAGAATAAATTAACACAAACTCTGTATCTAAAATTAAAAAGACTGTGCTCGACATTGATATCAATAACTATGAATGAAATAGTTCAATTGTTGATTTTGTTTCATAATATATGTAAGTTACTTTATACTGGTACATGCTGTGCTAACCTGTTAATAGTGAGGATTTTTCTTAGACTTATTGTTGATGTATATGATTAATTTTAATGTACTCACTGTTGGTCTGACAAATAAAACAAATAAATAAATAAAGTTTAAGTAATGCGAATGCGGTATTTTCTTCACAGTTGTGCGGAATGCTAAATATATCAAGACATGAACTTGAAATAGCCAATTTCTGTTGTTCTAACCGGGTTCCAGCTCAGGTTGATCACTAAGGCCCGTATTAATAGACGTTACTCAGCTCAAGTACACGCACTTGAGGACAATCTTGAGGTTATGAACTTATTAATAAACATATCTATATATGATTAAAAATAGAAACATATATATTTATATATATATATATATATATATATATATATATATATATATATATATGATATGTGTTTATATGATTGATAATTTTTTTTTTATAGGATAAGGGTGACAAACGAGCACATAGTCCACCTGTTGGTAAGTGGTTGCTACGGCCAATAGACATCTACATCTATCCTCTGTTACAAATCAAAATGTAGATGCGTTGTCACCCGTGAGGACTAAGATGGAATGCCTCATTTCCAGTAAAAAGGGCCTCCGGCCACCTGTTAAACGAAACTCGACTCTCAAGTGTGTGTGTACTTGAGTGCAACTCACAGAACAGTATTCCTAAGTAGGTACAGCGATTAGAGATACTATTTTTATGTGTTTATTAATTAGCAACGATCTTAAGATGCTGATATCGTAATGAGGGCGTATCAAATGATTACACACTGGAGTTCGTCGTTAAGTAACATTTATTAATACCGGCCTAAATTCAAGGCGCTCATTTAATATACAACTAATATTTTGAGTGCTAAAATGAAAAATGAAACTTTAAAAACTATGTATATATTATGTTGTCTAGTTACAATTAAAAATGATTTCAGGAACTCGACACAGCGCCACTCACCGCCTTGAAATGAACCATCTAAACCATATAATATGGTAACAACCAGTCCGGGGGCCGGATCCGGCCCGCTGTAAGATATGATCCGGCCCGCGAGACATTTTGAAAAAACCCAATTAAAAAAATATTACATTAGGTACTTACACTCACGGGAGTGACAGTGAGGCGGCAAACATCTAATCCGTTGATGTTTGCCAAAAGATTTATTGCTTCTCAATTATTCTAAACTAGGTTATTCCAGATTATTCCTTCATTTTGGCTATATAAGCGGGTGGATTGCACGAACGTTAGCTCAGTTCTATTTGGGCTACCGAGGTGATAACTTGGACAAGCGATATCCTAGTAAACTGCTGGAGCAGTCAACTTGCTTTGTGACTTTGTGTGAATCTTGAGTGGTTACTAACTATAGTTTGTTATTAAGTTTATTCAACGAAAAGTAAACAAAAATGATGTCTGGTGGAAAGAAACGAAAAGTAGTAGAGGGTCGCCAGTTTCAGGAAAAATGGACTGAAGAAGTCTTTTTTATCTTGCACAGTGGTACGCCTATTTGTTTGCTGTGTAATGAATCCATTTCAGTAATGAAAGAATTCAATATAAAGAGTCATTACTCGACTAAGTATGCTACGCTGCACTCACTGACAGAACAATTAAGAACAGAAAAAATCCAGAAGCTTACCGCAAATTTTGAAAAACAGCAACAAATGTTTCATAAACAAAGAACATAACTTGATAATGTTGTGAAAGCTAGTTTTATACTTGGCTCAAATTGGCAAAGGCATTAAAACCATTTGCCGAAGGAGAATTTATCAAGGAGTGTATGTTAGAAGTTTGCGGTATTTTGACTACTTAAAAGAAAAATTAATGCCATCAAAAACATAAGTTGTAAAAAAAAACTAAGTCTCGCAAGTCAGTTCTTCTACCGTAAAAAGTTGTGAGATCCATGTAATACCAAGTCGGTTAATTTATTCAGTCCCTACTTAAGGGTCCTTCTGTCTTAAGTTATTACGTAATTAGCTAACCTAACAACATCTTGTAATGACCACATCAATACTAAAAATCTTTTTTATTTTAAATAAATAGATTGACTTGGCCATCGTATGAAAACACAATGTACCTCTCAAGTAATACATATTATATTAAATTAGATTGTTTAGTGCGATTGCCAAGTCAATTTATTTATTTAAAATAATTAAAGATTTTTAGTTCTTCTAGTTTTATCTACAACGAAGTTATAGGGTTTCGAAAATGGCTTGAACTGCTTCGAGAAAAGGATGGTACGGCCGTGCCGCTTTTTTGCTCGACTTGGCGGTAGCACTGCCGTGCCCCCAGATTTGAAAAATTTAGTTTGTCAAGACGAACTGTTGTTCGACGTATAGAAATGATAGCTAATGATATAAAAACGACATTGACTGACCGTATGGCTGGTTTTAAATCATTTTCCTTAGACGAGAGCACCGATTTGTCTGCTCAACACAGCTCAACTGGCTATATTTATTCGAGGTGTTGATAAGGAGTTCACTGTTACTGAGGAATTGCTTGCTTTACAGCCGCTAAAAGGAACTACTACAGGAGAGGATATTTTTATTGAAGTTAGTTTTGGCTTGCCATGGTCAAAATTAATTTGAGTATGCACTGATGGTGCACCTTCTATGATCGGCTTACGTAAAGGCTTCATCGGAATTTTGAATGAAAAAGCAACAGAATTAAATATACAAAAAGATGATTTTATAGTCCTTCATTGCATTATCCACCAACAGAACTTGTTTTCTATGTCCATTCGACTCCAGAATGTAATGAATGTGGTAGTAAAAACCATCAACTTTATTCGATCCCGAGGGCTTAACCATCGTCAGATCAAGGCGTTTTTTGATAAAATATCAGCTGAATATAACGACGTAACATATTATTGTAAAGTCAGAGGGCTGAGCAAAAGAAAAATATTGAAACGGTTTTACGAGCTTAGAAATGAGATAGCCGACTTTATGAAAATAAAAGATAAACCACTATCTGAATTAAGTGACCCAAAATTGATATGTGATTTGGCATTTCTGGGCGATCTTACAGGCTATTTGAATGAGTTAAATTTGAAACTTCAAAAACAAGGACAGTTAGTAAATGATTTGTACAGACATTTGAAAGCGTTTTAGATCAAACTACGCTTGTGGGAGTCACAGATGCTGTCTTGTAACAGTTACCATTTCAACAGGCTCTCTGCGTATGAAAATATTGCTTATGCTCAATATGCTGAAGAACTCAAGTTACTGTTGGAACAATTTTCAAACAGATTTAGCGACTTCAAAAACATGGAGGACTGTTTCAGTTTATTCGCTACTCCTACAAAATATAATGTACAAAACGCTCCAATACACTTAGAAATGGAGTTGATCGAGATTCAAGAAAACTCACTCCTAAAATCCAAATTTGAACACGTAGAATTGTGCGATTTTTACAAAAAGTATCTAGAAGAAAACAATATTCCGCAGCTTAGAAAATTCGCAAGAAGATTGATTTGTGCGTTTGGCAGTACTTATAAATTCAAACAGTTCTTTTCATTGATGAAAGTTAATAAATCAACACATCGTACAAGACTGACTGACGATAATTTGGAAAATTCTTTACGTCTTTGTATCAGTGGAATTAATCCAAATATCGATGGATTAGTTTCCCAAATTCAAGCTCAAGTGTCTCATTGATTTCGGTGTATTTAACTTTCGTAGTTTGTAACAATTGCAAATTTAACGATTTAATTATAATGTACCTATTTATTACATTTCATTTTGTTATTTTAATAAATTGTACTATAATAACATTGTCGTATTATTTCATGTCTAATATCTATCGCAAAAAATATTATCACTACTTTAAAATGCACTAAGTACTTTTAAACGCGGCCCGAGTACGTATTTGCACGCTAAAGTTTGACCCCCAACATGTCAAAGGTTGCCCTGCCCATACCTGATCTAAACCATCAAAATGGAGACTAACGGAGAGCAATTGATTTTTATATAACAGTGACAATGGACCTAGGATGTAACTTTTACAATAACAACGATTATATTGTAGCAAAATATTGTTGTTATTATATAAAATTGTTATTATGAATGCTAACTTAAGAATACTAATTACTGCTAATGAAGCGTCAACGAACTTGTAACAACGACAACTCACACGATGCAAAGTGTTATTTTGTTATATCTGATTATATAATCTGACGTAATTTGCTTGCATAATATGAAGTCTTTAGCAAACAGCATAACAACAGAACTGCCTATATTACTAAGATTATTAAATGAAATAGTAAAAGGAATATAACATAGCTAAGTAGCATCTGAACTGCTAAAGAAATAATTAAAAATTTTGTACAGCCGACTTCAATATAAGTTATTAAGAATAACTCAAAAACTATTAGTCTGACCTTGATCAAATTTATATGAGACCACACGAGAAGTACCAGCTTTCAAATAAAAAAGAATCATCGAAATTGGTTCACCCAGTTAAAAGTTATGAGGTAACACACATAAAAAAAAACATACAGTTGAATTGAGTACCGTCTCCTTTTAGGAAGTCGGCAGAAAAAAGAATATTAAAACTTTACTAGAATTTTGCTATTAATATTTCTGGCTGCATATATTAATTTTTATTTACTTTCATTTTAATTTGTTTTAACAAAAATCAGTTACCTTTTGTTTTCCTAACCGATTTTGATATCAACGAAAATTTTGAAATATGTCACATGTTTTGAAATTCTTAGAACATGATTATTAGGGACGGCCTATTTTTTTAATTATTGCTTTAGATGTACCCAGCAATTTTTAATGGTGTAAGTGTTTTATACAATACAATTCAAAACATCGGTCTTGGTAAAAATAATCCAATCAAAATAAAATTTATAACAGTTATATATCTATCAATGACCATATTCTAAAAAGTACATAAAGCGAAAATGGTTTTTGGCCTGACACGACCCTTCAAGTTCACTACAGAATAGTAAATAAAACAAAACAGATTTGTAATAAAATTTTATTTTTTATACATTTTAGTTGTTAGTACCTTGTATTATTACCTCATCGTGTTGAAGATACGGATGTTATGCGATTTGGTATGCTTTACACCAGGTTTCTAAGTCGATACCAGGAATTGACGGCTCCGTGGTGCAGTGGCTTAGCAATGAGCTGCAGCGCTGGTGGCCACGGGTTTGAATCCCACACGGGACAAGTATAAAAATAATTGTTCCGGGTCTGAATGTTTGTTCCCGTGCAATTTATGTTTGTAAACTGCCTCCACGATTCAGGAGAAAATCCTAGTTTCGGGGTAACGTCTTTAAAATGTAAAAATAGCAAGTGTTTTCGCACCCTTCTATCAGCCTTTTACGTGATAGAGCCACGCTGCAGCTATATTAATAATATAGTTGTAGCACGAATGGTTGGCTCGATCGCGGAAGGACCACGCTCTCACAGAATACCAGTGTAAAATAGCATCGTTAAGCTCTGTTTCGTATGGTGAGTGTAGAGAACCGGAGCCCCTTTTTACTGCAACGAGGCATTTCATCTTAATCCTCACGAGTGACAACGCATCTGCATCTTGATTCGTTATAGAAGATAGGCCGCTGCAACCACTAACCATCAGGTGGACTGTGTGCTCGGTTGGCAATCGCAGTTTGTTATAGTTGTTTTAGCAAGCTGCTGCTCACCTGCTCATTTGTTTCCCTTTGCCTAATTGTTTTGGCAAGCTGCTGCTGCCCTGCTGATTTGCCTGCTGATTCTGCCGCCTCTTACGATATCCACGACACGGTGTGGGATAGTGAATATACTTATACTGCAATTACACTGTTCAGTTGAGAAATATGTTTTGTAAATAGATGTGCATTTATAAACTGTTTTTACGATTCTGTAAAAGTAAAATGGCAGTCCACTTAATACCACAGTCGTGATAGAGACAAATAAAACAGGTTTATATTTTATGATTCTATCACTTTATTTCTTCCAAATTATTTTCACTACATGTATTTATGAATGACCCGAGGTGTAAATGTATGAATATGGAATGTAACTTAGTGATACCTACAAACCATCAAGAGAGTTACGATAGAGCTAAGAGTAAAGTAAATAATTATAACAACGTAATAAATATGGACGAATATGATAAAGTGAGGTCATTCAAGAAGTGTTATAATAGAAATATCAAATATTTAACTAAAATGTGTGAAATGATTTTACACAGTAAAATTACAATATGTACAAACGCCTAAAGAAAAATAAACTGGATCAAGTACATTGTGTACCCTGTATTTACAGTCAACTTTATACATATCTAATAAGTATTAGAGCTACATAAGAAAATACCTACATCTTTCTAGATGCAATTCTGTGGTCATGTCGCTGTGAGATTTAAGTGCTTAAACCATAATCGTATTACCTATAATACTCTCTTTGCCGTTATCTAGAAATTCTGAATATCCAGATTCATCACTGCAAGCACTGTCGTTGTCATCTGCGTTTTTGTTAAAAACTTCTGTTTCAGTGCTGGAATTAAGACTATCCAGTTCTGTAATATTATCAATAAGTGATTCAAATTTGCCTTCAAGGTTCACGAGTACTGAAGAGTCAGCGCGCAATGGTGGATACGTTGACCGTCTTCTAAAACCGTTTCTTTCTCCTATAGGTACGTGATTTACTTCATCTGAAGTTACTGTGTTCGTGATATCGGCTTCATCATTCATTACATGAATGGATTTGGCGTAGCTTCTATTACTTTCTCTAATTGAAGCACGCTCAAAAACTGGCACCCCATCATAGGCAGATGCTTTTTCCTCATCGCTATCAGATTCCTTTATTTCTTCCTGTGGGAATTGTGAAGGGAGCGACGATGGCTCGGCATCGGATGAGGTAACAGTGCTCGCAGTTTCGCAGCCAGAAGAAACAGATCCATCGTCGCTGTCCGTGACGAGGAAGTTACTTTGTGTATGCAATTTCTTCCTAACCTCATCGACGCAAATTGAACTATCAATAAGTTCACGTGATTCAGAAATCACCTCCAACAACTTCAATCTTGATTCAGATTCTTTAAATCGTGATTCAGATTTATTAGTATCGCTATGACTAGTTTCGTTGCGGTTCTCACTTTCTGAATTTAAATTGCTTCCTTTCACAAGAAGATCAATAAATTTATCTGTATCGTGTGAAGTATTATCGGCTTCCTGTTGGATTCTATGTATAAATCCATCTGGGCAAGACATTTTGCGAGGAGACTTTGCTTCCTGTCGTCGTCTGTCTAATGTCTGTGATGCACAAGCGTCGTCAACAGTGACATTGCAGGAGTTTTGTTTTGCGTTCATCTCTGCTTCTTCTTCATCCTCTTCGGACCAGAGTTCCTCAATAGCCCCAAGTTTTGGAGCAGATTTTGATCTTTCCAATGGAGGTCTGTAATTCATCGCACCCACACTGAGCAGTATTTTTCTGCGTGGCATACTTGGGTTTTCATAAACACTGTTGGCAAGGCTTAACCTTGCATTTTGTTTAGAGATTCTGTCCTTTTTGAATTCGACTAGCGCTTGCTTTAACTTAATCTGTAATTCCTCGGTTATTTTCTTTGATATTGATTCTTTGGTGCAGAGGACGGCGTGGCAGCGAAGTTCATGTTTTAACTTCTTTCCCTCGTGACGGTATACCCAGCAGAATAACTTTGGGTAATGCGGGGGACTGGCGCAATAGGTAATACGGTGTGACCAGTATTCGGTCAATCCATGTTCTTTGGTGATGCCTTTTAGACCGGAATTGGTGACGGATAGCTTCATCACCACGTCGGGCTTGGTAGATTGTTGATAATTACGCCACAATGTTGATAATGGCTTCTCTATACTGCTTTCACCTGAAAAAGAAGGAAAAAAACTGATATTAGTACATAATAAGAGAACGCGAGTAAACTTGGTTCGGACTCTGCTCGTGCCTATGAAACTGTTAATTGCAATTTTAGATGCAGACAAACATTTAAAATTGGTCGTTCTGGATATTTTACGTCTGGCGTAGACGTTATATACCGTCATTTATCGAAAGTTATAAGATAATTGATAGAATCAGGCGTTACTTTGCGGAAATCCATTATAATGGGGTTGTCATAAACTAATTTGCTTAACTCCGCGTAAACAAAGAAAATGATGTGTCCTGCCCAGTTTAAAGGGGACCTCCCACCCTCCCTCAATCTCGCGCACTATACCCGTCGCCGTTAATCCCAACCTCCGCAGAGTCTACTTCACCTGAATATGCCTCGTGTAGAGGCGAAACACGTGTCGTATTTTCGAGAGTGGTGTGTCGTACCTAGTGTTCTGGTGCTGGGAGTGGTAGTGCTGGGATTAACGGCGACGGGTATAGTGCGCGCGATTGAGGGAGGGTGGGAGGTCCCCTTAAAACTGGGCAGGACACATAATTTTCTTTCTTTACGCGGAATTAAGCAAATTAGTTTATAACAACCCCATTATGAAAGTTATAAGATCTTTCTGGAATTACCCATAGTCGCCCCCTTAGCTTTTTTGGAAATTAATCTGGACGGGAAGCCTTAATGGAGCCTCCATATAACAAAACTAGTAAACAGATTTAATTCTGCAGCTAATGCTGTAAAATGTTAGAAGCATTATATGAGTTCACACATCTTGATAAGTTTAATTTAGTTATTTTCATAGCATAATATTTTATGGAAT